AAACTACCCATCCTTATCGCTCGCTCGTAATTATATTGCTGTCGCGACTGGCACCCGCAGCGAGTGTGCGAGCGCGACCGTAACATAATTACGCGCGAGCGATAAAGATGGGTAGCTTGGGGTCATTGGACAAAATTCTACGTGCTCACGAACCAGACTTTAGCTACCTAGTTGCCTAGTTGCAAATTAATTAATGAATAATTGTTTTGCAGTCATCAGGTTCTGTCTACACGATGGGCTGCGGTGAACAGGGCCAACTAGGCCGCTTGGCGCAGCGCTCCGCGTCACGAGACGCGCGCCAGGGATTTAGTAAGTTATAGCTATTTACTTAGAAAACAATTTTGTATACAGGGTGTCCCGTCATGCAACGTCAAGCCGGAACTGGGTGTTGAGGCAAGGTGTTAAGATTTAAGGTACAATCCCAAGACCAGACGCAGACCGCAAACTGCAACCGCAAACTGCAAAACTCTATGAAATTGGCAGCGCGGCATTGCAGCTGCGGCGTGTATACTGCAGATTTCATAGTTTTGCAGTTTGGAATTGTAGGTACCCTTAGACTCCGCCTTTATCCGAAACTATCCGTAACTTTTGAATCAGTTTCGGTTACGGTTATGGATATTTTTTTATTTTGGATATCCGATAGTTTCGGTTACGGTTACGGATATCCATAACATCCCTGCTTGGTAAGATGGCCCTCTCCGTCCCGCTCATACCTTTTAAAATGGCTTCTTCACCTCACTTAAGCCAGAAACTTGAATTTTGGGCACATTAGAATAATATTTTTTAACCAAGGTAGATAAAGTTAAAAACGGGATTATTTCCAAAAAACCAAAAATTGTCGACAATTACAGCAAGAATTTACCAAGTGTTATACCATTTTGGAATCCTTACTAAATGCGCCAAATTATGACGTCACTTGCCATACTCGCGTAGTACAATTTTTTTTCAGTACAGTCAGTTTGAACTAGGCAAGATTTTTATTTTGAAAATTTTTTTGGGAATGTATTTTTTTCATCCAAGCTGGAGCAGCTGGTTTTGTAATTTTGATAACAATTTAGAGAAGCTTTATTCAGGGTTACACAACAAAAAAAAATTTGGAAAAAGTGAAGATTTGTGGCAACACGAGTAAAAAGACCGTCACCGGGAGAAGAATTTTTTGTTTTTTTTTAAATGCCTATTGTTTTGACAAAATGCCACATAGATTTTTTTTTATATTTTTCTGATAACCAGCATAACTTGCCTCAAGACCCAGTTCCGGCTTGACGTTGCATTACGGGACACCCTGTATGATTTAGCTTTACAGATTTTTAATATTAGTATAGTTTGTGTACACGTTAACGCTTCCAGCTAAGCCAAAAATACGCTTATGTTCACTATATTAGTCCAGCAGACAACGGGGTTTGGAACTACCGACCTTCGAATCGGTAATCCGTAGTTTCTTAACGCCCGTATTCACAAACATTACTATGAGGTCTCACAGTGCGCGTGGACGCTCAGAGTGACACATGAACCAATCACAGAGCTCTATTCAACGCTGTGCGTCCGATTTGCTGCTTCACTTAAGCAAGCATCGTTTGTGAATACGGGCGTTAGTGTCGGTAGTCCGATACTGACGCGGTTTCCTAAGTCAGTGTCGACGGTTTGCCGTGTCACTTGCCGACGCGCCATTGCTGGCTTACGTCAACGTGTGACACCGCTATTCTATAGGTCAGTCAGTGCCTGCAGTATGGGAGCGGCAAAAGGGATAGTTTTTGTAACGTCAAACGTCAGCGAGACTTCAGATCTCTTTCAGATTTATATAGATGACCCACGCTGAACTGTCCCACCAAACTCAATGACAGGGGGGCGCTACCATCGTTCAACTACATGGTTTCCAACATGACAAAAATCTGAACCAGCGATCCGGTATTGACGGTGGCGCCCCGCTGTCAATGTCATCGACAGGACAGTCCAGTATTTTGGAACTATATGCTCGGTAACGTCATTATATGTCATGTCACTCCCGCCCGTGTCGCTTCCATACTTCAGGTACTAAGGTAAGCTAGCTAGACCTATAGTCTCACTTAGATTCAGGGTGGAAAAAAATCATGATTTTTTTATTTTAATCAAAAAAATCAGATTTTTTTTTTATTTATTTGAGTTTTTATTAGGTTTTGAGGTCATTTCTTTAGTTTTTCTTACGGAAAACATTTTTATTTACGTAGAAATATAGAGCAGGCAACACCACCAAAAAAAAATTATGTGGTTACCTAAAACCTCGCAAATATGTTTGTATGAAAAAAATATTTTTTTCAGATTCTCTATACAAAACGACAATTTCATTCATTAACACCTATTTAGTCACATTGTTTTCGAACATAACAGTTGATTAATATAAACTCCCAGCCTTTCATTAATTCTATTTTCGGTCTTTGATTTAAATCAGTGACTTTTATTTTAAAAAACATGCAATAAATATCGTGATTTAAATCAACTTGATTTGAATCATGAAACCCTGCTTAGATTTTGAATTTAATTTACTTGATGTGTTACCCCAGGTGCGCTGTTAGTGCCCATGAAAGTGACACTCAAGGGCGGCGCCCGGCGCGTGTGGGCGGGCTACCACGCCACCTTTGCGTTAGACGCCAACGACAAAGTCTTCGCGTGGGGACTCAACAACTACGGACAGCTGGGTAAGTTGACGGAAAAGTTCGATAAGTAATTATGATAAAATAAGTTAGATAAAGCACACCTTACCACACGAGACAAGGAAAAAAAAGAAAGAAATATTATACAAAATACAGGGTGGAATTTTGTAATGCCACCTGGAGGGAAAGTACTCTTAATACTGCAGATAGAAAATTTTACTGAAAGAAAACATTCCTTTATTTTTGAAAAGAAAGAGAACTGCATTCATATATTTTCGAAAATTTTTCGAAAATTCACTACCATACCATAAAATTTTCTGTACATGATTAAAATAATTTAAGATTTTATGGATTTCCTTTCATTTGATTTATCAAGTTTGTTAGAGAGATTTCATCATTATACTTGACCCTAACGATCGATGCAATAAAAATACAGGGTGTAATTTTTAACAGATTTTAGTTGGTTCGATTCCCGGGTGTGGCAAGCAAATTTTTGGAAATCTTTGAATGCAGTTCTCTTTCTTTTCAAAAATAAAGGAATGTTTTCTTTCAGTAAAATTTTCTATCTGCAGTATTAAGGGTACTTTCCCTCCAGGTGGCATTACCAAATTCCACCCTGTATACGACACAATTTAGGCGGTCTTATCATTATCTTATCACAAAGCAATCTCTTCCTTTCTTTTCTTTTCTATTTCTTAGCGCCTTTTTAGTGGTAGAATGTAACTCATCAGTCGGCGCCATTGTCAAATCATGGGCCGTTGCATACCAGTTGGCGCCATTACCGAGTAACATCTTACCAGTTGGCGCCATCGCCGAGTGACAAATTCTACTCTTCAGTTGGCGCCATTAGCGACTGAGTAAATAAACCATGGCATAGCACGTCTTTATAAAAGTGCAAGACTAGTTGACGCCACTGGCAAGCAAGACTATCTACCTGTCACTAAGGCGCCAACTGGCAATGAAAATTGGTTAAATTAAGTAAAAAAATCTGACCTACTTTTGTAAAAGCGCTTTTTAAAACCCTTTTATTGATCAAATCAAATCACTTGTGAATAAAAATGATGATAAAGAGAAAGAATTGAGAAAATAAATTACTTTTATGACTGTCCATTTTTGTAATCACTCTTAACTTAAAAAAAAAGTATTTAAGTATGTTTATATCCGTTGTCTAGTACCCATAGTACAAGCTTTGCTTAGTTTGGCACTAGAAGCACAGTGTAAAATGTCCAAGGATATTTATTTATTTATTATTATTATTTATTTATATCAACCTCATTCCCCAGGTATAACGGGCGAAAAGCGCAAAGTGGCGCTATACTCGCCGACGGAATGCGACGCGTTCAGCTGCGTGCAAGCGGGCTGGCGCGCGGTGGCGTGCGGACAACACCACTCGCTGGCGCTCGACGCGGCCGGGCTAGTGTACGCGGTCGGCAGGCAGGAGTACGGCAGGTGCGCACAGTAACTAAGCTAGTGCTATTATCAGCTTCATTTCAGCCAAAATACCTCCTCTTCTGGCCAAAGGACTAAGGGCAGTCGTACCTCGATCCACCAGTACCAAGACCTAAGTGTGCGAAGACGAAGCAAGAGCTACCATTAGCTTCATTTCAGCTAAAATACCTCCACTTCTGGCCAAAGGCGTTTCTACTAAGGGCAGTCGTACCTGGAATCCACCAGTACAAAGACCTGAGTGCGAAGACGAAACTAGGGCTATTGTTATCATCATTTCAGCCAAACGACGTCTACTTCTGACCAAAGGACTCCAAGGATTTCTACTAAGAGCAGTCGTACCTGGATCTACCAGTACAAAGACCTGAGTGTGCGAAGACGAAGCTAGGCTTTCATCATCATTTCAGCTAAACGACGTCTACTTCTGAACAAAGGCTACCCCAAGACTTGGGGCTGGCGAGTGACAGGACCTTGCTTTGATCTTTAAAAGCAAATAAGAAGGTACTCACCTTCAGCGCTCACCAGTTGGCGCCACTGCCGACTGAATAGGCCAGGGCGCCAACTGGTGACTACACCACCCACTTATCACTATCGAGCAACCGTTAATTCTTTAATCGTAAAACAAGACCAAATATATTTTATTCAATTTTGACAAGTATTATGGCACTTATAAAGTTCAAAGATAATAATAAAAAAATTACACTTACCCCCTTATTAATAAAAGTTACACCTAGGATGAACCCTGGATTAAAATGACATTTCCATACTAAATTACAATTTATGCTCGAGTTCAACTAGGTGTAATTTTTATTAATAAGGGGGTAAGAGGGTAGAATTACCTATAACAAAAGATTAACAAAGTTCTTCTACCCACAGGTTAGGGCTGGGCGACAGGGAAGGTGACGCGGAGGCCTTGGAGCCGATTCCAAAGCTGCAGAACAAGAAATGCATTAGCATAGCGGCCGGCACCTGCAACTCCTTTGCCGTCGCTGACTCTGGTAAGTTATCTATATATATAAAAGAAAGTCGTGTTAGTTACTCCACTTATAACTCAAGAACGGCTGAACCGATTTAGCTGAAAATTGTCAGGGAGGTAGTTTAGAGCCAGGAGAAGGACATAGGATACTTTTTATCCCGTTCGAAATTAAAAAAAAAGTCTGCTTATTTATTGCCATTAAGGCGCAACAAAGTTCGCGGGGTCAGCTAGTTTATTTATATTTTATGACTCACAGGTTACACAGGTTGAAAAACACTGTTTTATGTCACCAAAATTTCTTGATTTTGTTGATCTTGCGTACATGTCGAAATAGGGTCAGAATGAAATTTGGCAGGGACATAGTTTGAGTCCCGGGAAAGGTCATAGGATAGTTTTATCACTGTTTTTGAAACAGGGACGCGCGTTATAAAGTTTTCTGTGTCAGACAAAATTCCACGCGGGCGAAAAGCTAGTCAGAATATAATAAGTAAAATTCATTGTTTTACAACTTAAACTATATTCTTATGCAATCAAATATTTTCTCTTTATAATATTGGTGTGGATAAATTATACTGCGGATTCACTACTGTTTCTCTTTTCATGTATTAAACTTTAGCATGTATCAATTGTTAGTAGCAATCATTTGTAGTTACGGAAGAGTGGCTCCTTCTGACACAAGTGCAAATGCACTTAAAATAATGAGTCAACCTTTGTTTTTAGTTATAAACTTTGGTACTGAAAAAGTTATTTATTTGTTTAAAATCCTTGCGTAAACAAAGGACAATGACTAAAAATGTATGGAGTGTGGTCCAAATGTCCACCACTAACGAGACCTATGTAGTAAAATAGTCTACTAAATACTGATTCATTATAACCAAACCGCAATCAAAAATATGCTGTCAGTAAAAAGTTATGACTGAATGAAAAGTCTGTTTTTTACCTTTTCATCCGAAAAATGTTCTTGATATCATTCTATCCATTGCACATTTTGGACTAATCTATGCATGTTATGTCATGTCGCATGTGGCGCGGGGTTATAGATGAATTTTATTAAATATTATACTAGCTGTGCCTACGACTTTGTAAGCGTGAGGATTGTTAGAATAATGTTTCCCATTTTTATAACATTTGTCTTTACTGCTCCGCCCCTATTGGTTGTTGGGTCATTACCCAACAACCAAAAGGATGGTTTTAGGATAAATAACATTTTATTTATCCTAAAACCATCCTTGATAAATGGGCTATCCATAACGAAAAGAATTTTTCAAATCGGACCAGTAGTTCCTGAGATTAGCGCGTAAACTACTACATTTTTTCAAACAGTCATAACTTTTTACTGACAGCTTATTTTTTTTTCGTCCCATACTAAAAGTTAGTCTCTATTTAATGGACTATAAGCCAATATAGGTCTCATTGGTGGTGGACATTTGGACCACTTTTGATCATTGTCCTTTATTTTTTTTTGTTAAGGGGGTNTAAACTCATGTTTGGTTTAGCAAAATTAGTGAAATGCGTGTTTTTACTCTGTATTGAGTCTCTTTTGTCTCTACTCTGTAAAGTAGTTCGTGTGCGATCGTGTTAGTTCGTTGCGCCACCGCTATCTCGGCTAGCAAATCGTAATTTTTCGTCGGCGCTGCACCCCCTTAACTGGTGTAATAAACATTTATTCTTCCTCCAGGCGAGGTGTTCGCGTGGGGCATGGGCAGCGAAGGCCAACTAGGCACCGGCAACTGCAACGACGCTGCCGAGCCTGCGCTCGCGCCGCTTGCCGCGCCCGCCGCTCCGCTGCGCGTCTGCGCCGGCGGGCAGCACACCGTGCTGTTATTGGTAAGTTTGTTGAGTTTTTAAAGTTAAGTGATGTTCGGTGGAGGCGCCAACTGGGCGCCAATTCGATTAGATTGATTAGAAAGAAAGAAAAATGGTTTATTTGGTTCAAACAAACGTTTTACACAATTTAAATTACATACATAATTTATTGAACCAAAATGGCTCCTACTCAGCTTGTATCATGTTCCATTCAGAATATGAATGCTGGTATTCTGTAGGAACCATCTTAAAAAGAGCGTCAACCAGGGACGCAATAAACATTGGCATTTTACATAAACATTATACGCTCTCCTATTAGCACCCCTTTACCTGTGCGCCGGCGGACAGCACACCGTGCTGTTATTGGTAAGTTTTTAAAGTTGGTGCAGGCGCCAAGTGGGCGCCAATTCAATCAGATGAAGGTGGGCAGCACACCGTGCTGTTATTGGTAAGTTTTTAAAGTTAGCGATGTTCGGTGGAGGCGCCAACTGGGCGCCAATAGGGTCTTACAACTTTTTTTGAAATAATTTTTAAACCAATCCTTTAATTTTTAGAATTTTTATTTTAATTTTTAAAAGCCTGAGTGTAACTTAAAAACTTGAGTGTAAATATGATTTTGACTTTTCGCGCGGAAACGCTAGCCGCCATGCTGACTCGGCTCGTAACGTCACTCCATTAGTTTCTTTAACTTTACTTTAACTTTCTGCTTTCACAAAACCGTCTCCCATGACGCCATTTTAATAAAATAAAACTTAAAAGTCCATTAACGTGATATTATCACAAACAAATTCAATATTTTACACATAAATCACTTCAGATCCGTCATGGCGGATGGCGTTTTAGACATTTAAAGAACAGATTAAAAAGATGCGTTTTTAAAAGTGAATTTAAAAATTATATTAGCACTTTTATGTAAAAATATCAACGTTTCCCGTTAAGTTTTTATGAAATCTATTAAAGACATGCATTTTTATATTTTTTCTTACATGGAGTAAAATACCCTATTCGATTAGATTCATTAAGCTTTCCTATTAGCGCCGCTGTGCGTGCGCGCCAGCGGACAGCACACTACTGCTACTGGTGAGAGCGCTAACTGGGCGCCAATTCGTGTTTTTGGAAGATAATATTTTCTAGTTAAAGTAAATGGTCCAACCCAAAGTTAATCATTTCCATATCCAGTACTCACTCCATTCCCATCGTATAATCGATTATTATCTGTACCTATTTATTACTTCACTAATCTTACAACATTAAAACATGAATAAAATACTTACATTCTCCTTTCCTCACAGGAGGAGCCACAGTCCCAAAAAGAGGAGTCGCCAGCGCCGGAGGAAGAGACTAGCGAGCAAAAGGCCGACGCGGTCACCGAAGAGGATGAGGAAGAAAAGGTAAATTGGCTGTTTATTTCTGTTCTGTCATATGGCGTCCATTGTTGGACAAAGACTTCCCTAAGGGAGTTTCATTACCACCAACAAGGCTCAAGGTCAAAGGGCGATGAAGTGTGATCAGATCTGAAATGAGGATATCTGCAGGAAAACCAAAGTGACATAGCCCGCAGAATTCCTAAATTCAAGTATCAGTGGGCGGGGCACATAGCTCACAGAACTGAAGGCAGAAAAGTAGGCGTAGTGTGGGCAGGCGTTCCACTCTCACTTGATGGATCGACGATCTGGTGAAGGTCGCAAGGAGTCGACCAAGTGCTGCGAGCAGCGCAGGACCGATCGTGTGGAAATCCTTTGTCCAGTCAGCGTCAAATTATAATTCAATTATAATAATGTTTAAGAACTTCCTTTGTAAATGATAATAAAGAAAAAATAGTTCGTGACACCCAAAGTAGCCAAAAAGATCGCAACACGTTTTTGAATAAGGTGGTGTTGTCCATTTTTTTGCCACTTTGTGGGTGTCACGAGCTACTTTACGCTAACTGTTCAACTGTGAACTTTCATTACGTAACAAACGAATGACATCACCAACACTACTTTTTACACCAGAGGGCTGTGCAAGTTTACATCAAACGTCGTCTCTAGTGGTAGTGTACAGCGCCCTTAGTGGAAACTTTCAAGAACTAAAATATTCATATATTTTTTAACGCGCTCACTAGTGAGGACGTTTTTTACGGGACTATTCCCACCTCTCGTTCCCACCACTGCAACTCCTGTGTAGCCAGGATCTACAGCTTGACCGCCAATAACCCAACCAATGAAGGTCAAGTTTGTCCCGGGGGAAAATTTAACTGTCATTGGACCCCCAACGAAATTAATCAGAAGAACATAGGAGGAGTTCGAAATTAAGGTAGTGAGGACGTCTGGTGTAAATGTAAACTCACACTCAGCCCTCTGCAGTCGAATACCAAAAGATTACATGACCAAAAGTTGTCAATCCCCCAGGAGCCTGAGGTGGAGAGGAAGAAGCCGCGCGGCGGCAAGCGGCCCAAGAAGCAGCAGCAGGAGGACGAGGTCTCCTCCACGTCCGCGCCCGCCGAGCCCGAGCCCCAGGTAACTACATTATTACTCCCGTTAGCCCCTCGCACTAAGCTAAATGCTTGTGTCACGATCAAGCCATGTATTCATTAGGCAACATTTGTTGATAAACTGTTTATGACTAAAGCCTGTACCTCTAGTAGGAAAAACTTTCGAGTTCGTTTCGTTGCGTATTCAAAGTGTCATCGAAAAATTTTGTATGAAAAATTAAACAGCGCTCCCTAGGGCGGCTATAATATAGGGGGCGCTGTTTAATTTTTCATACAAAATTTTTCGACGACACTTTGAATACGCAACGAAACGAACTCGAAAGTTTTTCCTACTAGAGGTACTGGTCCGTGAGCACGTACAATTTTGTCCAATTATATTGCTGTCGCGACTGTGCGACGGGCGCCCGCAGTGAGTGTGCGAGCGCGACAGCAACATAATTACGCGCGAGCGATAAGGATAGGTAGCTTGGGGTCATTGGACAAAATTCTACGTGCTCACAAACCAAACTATAGTGTGAAACAAGTTTACCATAAACATAGGTTTCTGAAACTTGGCCGTCCACACTCGCTCTCCACTCGAAGTGGGGAGCACGACAACATGTATCGTGAACAATGTTTCATCACCTATGTTTATGGACTGTTTATAAACTGTTTACAGAGATGATGAAACATTACGAAACATTGTTTATGAACAGTTTATAAACAGTGTTTATCAACAAAATTAAATGTTGCCTAATGAATACATGGCTTAACAATCACTCGTGCGCTCACGCTCAACAGGCCAGTCTGACCCCTTACCGCTATCGTGGCTTCGTAATTCACAAATATTTTTTAAAAAGCTCTTTTACCCGTCAAACCCAAAGCGGTCACATGTGACCGTGTAACAACCTAACCGTTTAAAAAGGCGAAATATTCACCAAACAAAACACTCTGATTACTTAGTGGGAAGCCATGGCACAAAATTGTTTATATTTTTTTGTTGATAAACATTTTTTTTATTGATGTAGTGTCTCAATTCGCAGGGCTTGAAGGGAATAATAATATGCTATATTGTCTATGGTTGAAAATGTTGAAATAACCCTCATCGCGTTGGTTTAATCATCAAAAAGTCATAATAGTATAATCATGGTCATTTATTTTCTGCATAATAGGCTTTTATAAAGCGTTTTACACGTTAAAACAAGGCTGGCCCAATAGATTTTCCAGACTGGCGGCGCCGGGCCACAGCTTTTTGAAAAAGCAAAAGCAATACTAAATTCATAAGGCCATTTATACCACCGGCTAACTCGCTGGCGGGCAAATTCACCACGAAGTGCGTGCCTGGGTTTGGCCAGCCTTGCGTTAAAATAACTTATCCTACCACTGCTTCGGGGCTTTAAATATGTTTTCGCGTTTTTTCTTCTCTTTATTTTATTTGTTTTATTTTACATTATAATTTCACAAACATAGGCCAAACGTGGGAGAGGCGATGCTTCGGCGGGAAAGAGACGCAAGCCCGGCAAAAAGGCACGGCGGCTATAGGTTATATACCAGCATCTACACTCCACTGGCGATATTGTGACACCAATATGGCAATACTCTAATATTCTAAAGTCTGTTCGCTGAGAGTTGATAAATATTATGAAATGTCTTGCAATAGCGACTGTCGCTTAATTATCGCATTCTGTATGGCGGGCGTCGTTTGTCACAACGCGCACTGAGTACCATGGTACGAGCCACGCAGCTGTCGTCAAGCGCCCCGGCCGGCGGGCGGCGGCGGCCACAGCGTGACCACTTTTAGTAGATTTCTACTTTTTTGGTAGATTTGAGGCAAAGAGAACGATTAGTACGAGAGCCCACGACCAAAATTNCAGCGTAAGAAGAGTTCAGAGGCACGCGATAGAAAGAGACAAAACTTGTAGGTGAATAAAATTGTAGGTACGTAGTGCTGTGCGAGCTGAATTCCACTGTATCGCGTCGTAGCAAGACTCGCATTTATTTAAATCGTCTTGCGGAGTAATCCTTCTGTACCTGTACTATTACTTATTCTGTGGCATAACAAGGCAGGTATTAGACCAAAATCAAAACAAATTGAAAATTTGTTCCCGCCGGCTTCGCTCGACTATTGTGTTGAGCTCACTCGTGACACAAGCATATTTAGCTTTGTACGAATTAGTAATGTGTGAAATAAAAAATTACTAATAATCTTAATAAAAATATAAAAAATAAAAAACCTATAATAAGAAATTAACAAAGTTCTTCTACCTATAAAAGCAAATAAGTTACTACTACTACCTATAAAAACAATTTCTACCTATAACTGGCGTAGAATAGTAACCCCCATGTTGGTACCCGCTGAAAACCAGCTTCGTGACTTGACGACTTGTGTCATGTCACGATTTTCGCTGAGCGGGCGCCTTTTCAGCATGGCTCAGTAATTTAACCTCTGTACATGTATGCATATAAATGTTAATGCTGAATAAAGGTATTCTATTCTATTCTATTCTACCCACAGGTTAGGGCTGGGTGACAGGGAAGGCGACGCCGAGGCCTTGGAGCCAATTCCAAAGCTGCAGAACAAGAAGTGCATTAGCATAGCGGCCGGCACCTGCAACTCCTTTGCCGTCGCTGACTCCGGTAAGTTACCTATTTATGTAATTATTTCTTGCTTTTTTCTTGGTTCCGGTTGAGTAGAATAAATTGAAATTGAAAAAATTTNGTGCGGCTGTAATATTATATGTAAACAATATTTAATTTAGTGAAAATAGGCGAGAGAGAGGATTTGATTTAAAAATAAACAATATGAGGAAGTTAAAAGCACTTACTCAAGCCAATGTGTAGTTTACTGTCTTTTGTCTTTTCATTCCTCTAGCTAATAACATGAATTTAAAAATACCATCAATACTTCTGAGTACAATAAGACCCCCTCAAACTATAAACTTAGTCGGCCGACAGCTTGGTCGACTTCCAATTTGTATCAAGAATCGGCCGATACCAAATTGGTGTAATGTGCGCACTTCCATACATGTTCATACTGATTAACTGCCCGACCACACTATCGGCCGACTAACAGTCTGCCTGCAGGGTGTCTAAGTCAAAATGGCGTCAAAAAACTTGTGTACATAAATAAAGTATAGGTCTATTCCACTTTCATCACCTGGATTGGATCACCCAGGTGCATAGGTGATGCAAAGCAGATTCCAGGCGACACTGGTGTCCCTTGATCAAAATCAAAATCAAAAATATTTATTCAGTTTAGACCACAAGTGGCACTTATGAACTTTTACCTATGGATAATATCGCCTCGGTGATCAAAATGGATTTTTTTTATGTATAACAGGGCAGGTATTTGACCGCAATCGCATCTGGTGTTAAGTGAGATGCAGTCTAGGATGGTACATAATTGCCCTGTAAGGGTCAGCGCTGAAAAGGCCCGGATAATAGTGTTCAGGAAAGACAGCAGAAGGCAGTGAATTCCAGTCCTAGTGACTACATTATAAAAGAGTTATCGAAACGCTTAGTGCGAGCTGGTGGAATGTCGACAATGTAGGGATAGTACGCTAACCTGTGTCTGGTTCCTCGGTGATGGAAGGACTTCTTATCCAGGTGATCAAAGTGGAATAGAGCAAAGTATACTAATTACTAAAGTCTATAGAATTTCGTCCAATGACCCCAAGCTATCCATCCTTATCGTGCTGTCGCGACTGTGCGTCGGGCGCCCGCAGTGAGTGTGCGAGCGCGACAGCAACATAATTACGCGCGAGCGATAAGGATGGGTAGCTTGGGGTCATTGGACGAAATTCCACGTGCTCGGAGACCGGGCTTTAGGTGAATTAGTACCGGATTGTGTGGTTCGGTTCCAACTGGTCTACAAGCCGCATAGGAGGTTGCGGTTGACGTCGTATCACTCCTCCTCAATTTCGGCGTCCTCACCGTCTGGGGAAACGATAAATAATTTTGAGATTACACAATGCGCCATCAAACTAAGCAAAGGTACTAATACTATGGATACCAGATATCCGAAATAAACATAGGTATAGTTACAGATTGATATTTTAATTCTTCTGATTTATAGCTATTAACACAAAATCAAAAGTACTCGAATGGACAGGCCTCTCACTAGGTGGACCGACGATCTGGTGAAGGTCACAGGAAGAGCTTGGATACAGGCAGCGCAGGACCGTTCGTTGTGGAAATCCTTGGGGGAGGCCTTTGTCCAGCAGTGGATGACATTTGGCTGAAACGAATGAACAAACGAAAATAAAATCAGTTTTTACATCATTTTCTGCATGAGACATGTTGTTAAGCTTTACCTAATTTGGTCAATGTGCTTAATGCGAGTTTAGAATAAACATCATTGCAAAGTATCCGTTGGGGTCACTAATCTGGCGTATATTTCATGTAATTTTTTACGCAGTCGCTAGCGACGTCGTTTAATGTAATCTCGCACTAAATACACAGGAGCGGCGTAGCTTGAGTTGTCAATCTATACTAAGTTTGATCAGTGACTTTTAGGGATGAAACAAGATACTATTGAGGTATCGATACTTTTACTCGATACAGTATCAGTACGCAAGTATCGATACTTACTCATTATCGATCGAATAGTATCGGTGCTTAGTCGTATCGAATCGTTTTTGGAAATTTTTGAGTAAAAACCGTAACAACTATTGGTATTCTTTATTAATAAGCACAAAATCCTAAGAATTATGAAAAAGAGTCTTGTTTTGTTTTTGGGAAGCATTACAAAAACATTTTTTTTTCTTTATTAGGCCCGGTTTTTTGAATCGTAGTTAAAATAACCAATGGTCAAATTTGACAGATGTCAAATGACAAGTGGTTAAATATCAGAAAAAAATGTTTTTCGAACAATGGTTAGCTTGACTTTTCGTACATTTTTTAACTATTAGTTAGCATTTTGTTAATATTTAACCATTAGTAGCAAAATTTAACAATTAGTTATTTTAACTATGAATCAAAAAACTGGGCCTAAGGAAACAAACAGCATGAGTTGAAACATTGTAAACTCGTATCGTCTCATCCCTAGTGACTTGTCCTTGCGGTACTTACCGACGTGGTTGGCGCCGTTGGAGTCCACTCTAAGTTGTCGCAGGCGCGCGGCCGCCTCGTCCTCCGCCAAGTCCTCTTCTTCCGCGTCTTCAAACTCCTCGTCACCAGCTGAGGAATATTAAGCGTTAGTTAATAACATCTATTAAGCTGAAGATTTAGTACTGATCCGATTATAATCATTTTAGGTCGTAAGATATGAATAAAGCGTAAGCTTATTATTATTAGGTCAGTCAAATTAGATTTCTTTGAAGAATTACATCCCAGCAAGCTGGGAATCGTTTTAATGCTTTCACTAAATATTTTTTATTACTAATTTTCGTTATATTCTATATAAATTCATCATCATTGAAGTATATATTACAAATCGTTTGTTTAACAATTGTTCATGTGAAATCTGCCGCCCTAGGATTCTGCCTACTCAGCTTGCTAGTAAATCCACCACAGAGTTATAGGCTAGAAGGCGTTCCAGTTAGGTAAAGTGATGACTTTCATAAGTTCCTCGCAAAATCTCAATTGTTTTCCTTGATAACCTGCCTAACACACACAAATAGGAATACATTTTTGAAGAAAAATAATACGATCATTAACACGTTTTCCCCTCGTGAATTTTTCATATGCAAACATCAGGCCTCCCCAACCTGTCTGGCTAGCGAGGAGAACGTAATTATTTATCAGACTGCATTCAGTTCTGTCTGCCACTTACGTCGTCAGCCATTATTTTAGTAAGGAAAATACGACCAGCCAAAGATAAGGTAAAATGGTAAGCTACATTTGGGATGTGTATAAGCGTCCTGGAAAGAGCCCATAATAAATTAATAGATTTGATTTGTGGCACTGCTTCCTCATTCACGTATCAAAACTTTAATGACATGCAAACGTTGCGCGGTCGGACGATGGCAAACACTACCAGTCGCAACAGTTTTTACTTAGCGGCGGGTAGCGGACGGAATCTGATACATTTTGCCACCCTCTTAATTGCTTATTCAATAGTACTTTTTACTAAAACTAAAACTCATTAATTTCTGTAAATAGGCTTAAAAAAAGCACTTTTACACGTCCCAGTATTAACCCTACCACTGCTTCAGGACAATAAATGGGCCAGTGCTGAGAAGAAGCAGCGCAAGAAACTCAGTCGCTATTGTCANTTACAACGATAAAACCATTCAAATCAGTCTTCCGGTGAATGATGTAAGAAGCAAATATGCGCGCATATTGCTGGGGATCTAGGTGGGCACGTATGTTGGGCTACCGATTCGAAGATAATATTTGCTAAAGTCCGGTCGCTGAGCAGATGAATTTTGTCCAATGACCCCAAAGCTACCCATCCTTATCACTCGCGCGTAATTGTATTACTGTCGCGCTCGCACACTCTCTGCGGCCGCCCGTCACACAGTCGCGACTGATAAGGAGGGTAGCTTGGGGTCATTGGACGAAATTCATCTGCTTGGCGACCGGACTTTACAAATACTATTAGTTGGCGCCACTGTAAAGTTCCGTCACCTGCCAGTGGTTAAATGGCGCCAACTAGTGAGTGCTGAAACGGTAGGATCACCAGTTGGCGTCACTAGCAAAGCAAGTGACAACCTTATCTTACACTACAGTGGCGCCAACTGGATAGTCCTCATTATTAATCTCTTCTTCTTCTTCTTTTTTGATGATGTTGGCAATACACGTCGAGGTCGACTTGATTTGTGCCATTTTCAAGTATTTATGTGATACGAGTTACAAAATGAGATCAAGTAATGATATAATGAAGGATGATAGATGATACCCCTTCCCACCCCTTGAGTCTCAGTAAAGTTGTGGTGCTTTACTGAGACCTCCTATGGACAACTTGAGAGAACCCGAAGAATCACGATGCACTGTTTTGCTTCACTCGCCCACACTCATGCACGTTCACGAACACTCAATGGTTAATAATCCACCATTACGAGGGCGGCACTGAAAATTTCGGGAATCAAGGAAGTGAAACAACATTACTATTTAAAAATGTATTTATTGCTTTTTAAAGTATTCTCCGCGAAATTTGACACATTTTTCCATACACGAAACCAATCATTGAAGCAACCATTCCATTCGGAAGTTTGGGTCTCCAAAATGGCCGTTTTGTAGGCGTCCACAGCTTCTTCAGGTGATGAAAATCTCTGACCACGCAATTTGTTCTTTATTTTAGGGAAAGTATCGAAATCATTAGGGCTTAGGTCGGGGCTGTACGGCGGATGGTCTAATAATTCTATGTTTTCTTGCTCTAAAAACTCTTTTGTTCTGTACGCAGTGTGAGAACTCGCATTGTCGTGATGGAGGATGATGCGGCGGTTGCAGTTCTATTTACGGAGTTCAGAAACGACTTGTGGCAAACAAATGCTAGCATACCATTCTGCATTAACCGTTCTTTGTCCCCCAAGAGGAATAGTCGCAACATGGCCGGTTTTGGAGACAAACGTGGCCACCATTTTATTTGCAACACTCCGTGAACGAACAATTTCTGTTGGCTTTAACTCATTTTCGAACACCCAAACTCGTGACTGGTTTTTTGTTTAGGGTTCGTACGCATATATCCAGGATTCGTCACCTGATACGATGTTGTATACAGCATTTGAGGATCCTGCATGTAATCTTCCGAGAGTTCTGACGCACCAAGTAACGCGAGCCGCTTTTTGCTCTTCACAGAGCGAATGCGGTATCCATCGGATAGTGTCCGACCGAATGTTCGGTTTCGGTTTCGTTTTCGGTTGAGTTTCGGTAAAAACACGAGTTTCGGTTTAGTTTCGTTTTCGGTGGCAAACTTGCCGAAACTACGACCGAAACCGAATGTGCATTCGGGAGTTTCCGCGCGGAATTATCGGTCATGTTCGGCGCGTTGAATGAGTGAATGAATCCGATCAGAGCCAATGTCGTGATTCGCTCGCTTGTTTGTTTGCTGTTAGTTTTGTTTTGTTGTGGTGGCGAGTTTTCGAGTGATTTATTTTGAATTTGGTAAGTTTTATCTCGTTTTATGTCGTTAAAACATAAGAGCGGGTATTAAACATAAAAAATAATATTCAATATGACTAATAAAAGTATAATCAAGTTTAATCTAACCTATAAATTTTTTTTTGGTTCGCAAATGCTATACGTAAACAAACATTAGTTACGTAGTTAGTAATGACTATAGTGCATTTCATGGTGATAATATTATGGATTCAGAGTTTCAAAGTTCATTTTAGTATTTATCACCAAGGTATCCAAGTGGCAAGTACAGTAGATACTAACTTACGTGTTACCAATTTTGTTTTGAGAAATTATTATTAAGGTAAAAGACCCGACCATGGGACGGGTTAAAAGATGTCCTGAATATTGCGAGTAATAAAAAAAATCTAGACTATAAATCCCTCCTTTTCTTTTTTAATACATAATTTGATACCTTTTTAGAATAAAAAGGCGCTTTATAAGTTCAATTTTAATGCAATTTAAAGAGAAAACAGTAAAGACTGACTGATTTTAATAACGTTTTCTTTATTTTTCCCTCAAAATATGAGCCTTGAAAGGAATTTTCGGTTTCGGTTTCGGCCGAAATAGACATCGTTGCCGAAATTCGTTTTCGGTTTCGGTTTCGGTCGTAAAACTAGTTTCGGTCGGACACTACTAAACAAGTTTCACAAGACCTTGTGATAAGACCGAGAATCTTTTTTTAAATAAATAAATGGTATTCGATGCTTAAAACCAAGGAGTTTGCAATTAAAAATATTTTAATATGATAGGAACAGTGGAAATATTCTATTCCCGATACTTTTAGTGCAGCCCTCGTATTACACATTAATAGTCGCCTAAACACGAATTTGAGGAAATAAAACAAAACCGCTAACATGACGCTTCAGATTCCCGCCAAGTCCATTATTAATCTCTATTGTTCCTCCAGGCGAAGTATTCGCGTGGGGCATGGGCAGCGAAGGCCAACTAGGCACCGGCAACTGCAACGACGCCGCAGAGCCCGCGCTCGCGCCGCTCGCCGCTCCTGCAGCGCCGCTGCGTGTCTGCGCCGGCGGGCAGCACACCGTGCTGTTATTGGTGAGTTTTAACAGGTTTTAGAGCAGGCGCACACCGTTGATTTTTAGTTGGCCGATAGTTGTGCCCGATTTTAATTTGTATGAAGAATCGGCCAAATCGAATCGGCGTAGTGTGCGCACTCCCATACATGCCCATACTGATCAACTGCCCGACTAAACTATCGGCCGACGAAAAATCAACGGTGTGCGCCTACTCTAAGACATTTATTGCTCAAAAACAGAAAATACATTCAATTACATTGAGAAACACTGGTTAACAAATTATTCATCATGGAGCGGATATGTTGCAGCTTATAACAATATCGGATTAATTACACAGGTACAGTTTAATCACATACATTTCAACCAAAGAATACATTCACAATTCAATTAAAATACACATACACTGACACATTACACTTGTCGAGTGAAATAAATATAGATTCGATTAGATTAATATTATTTTATTTTATTTATTATATTTTATATTTTATTTTGTTTGGAAAACATACAGTGAAACAATAATAGATTAACCACTGCTTAAGAAACTATACACCATTTACATGTTTTCGCATATGTGTAGCAATACAATTAAACAACAGAAGCCAATTCGCTTACATGAGAGAGTTATTTTTAAATTAAGATCTACAGGGTGTTAGGTATAGCCTGACCAGGAACATAAAAACCCTGGCATAGAGGCGCGTCAATTGCATTTGATAGTGCAACACTGAGTACAGTCGTACCTGTGTTAAATTAATAGGCTAACTTTATGTATCAGGATTCAGGATTACGGGCTAATTTGATATTTTCATAAATTAACGAAAAAATATTATTATAGGTAACCTGGTTTAAATAAATTAAATGAAACCATCAATCGAGCTAGTAGGATTTATTTTATTATTCATCAATAATCAAATTCAGAACTTGAATATTCAACTGCAATGTCTGCTCATGAACGCTTCAAACTCGGTACTTCTTTCCCAATTCCATAAAATTCAACACTAAAGTGACAAAAAATTTTAAAATTGGTAGTTGAAACAAACTACAGCTAATTTTCATAGTGGACTGTACTATACGATAAACATGTCAGTCAATTTGACAACCTTTGTCGGAAACATTATTCAATGAAAATATTGTTCGAACCCTTAGTATTTCTCTTCGACAAATACTTTAACACATTGTGAACCACTTTTCTTTCACGACTATAAAAAGATTTTAGCAATTTAATTCACAAAATCAATTGCGCACATTTAAAATAAAGTTTGTTTACACTTTGACAGCAATAGACTGACATGCAAGGTGACATTTCAATGAAGTTTTCAGTTACTGTTGCCATTAAAAGAAATTAGTACCATTAGTTTTCCGCAACATGGCGAGGGTTTTTATGTTCCTGGTCAGGCTATAAATGGGTATATGAGCCGACACTAGCCCATGTTAACATGGGCATATATAAATGGTATGGTGAAGTCAGAAATTTGATATCATCATTTAATTTTTTTAAATTTTCATACAAAATTAATTTGATAAAATCCGATTTGTATGAAAATAAAATAATTAAAATGAAGATATCAATTTTCTGACTTCACTATACCATTTATATGACCATGTTAACATGGGCTAGTGTCGGCTCATGTACCCATTTACCTAACACCCTGTATACCTACATTAAACAGCTGATGAACCGTCGAACCAAGATTTAGCCAATTACTCCTATTAGCGCCGCTGTGCGTGTGCGCCGGCGGGTAGCACACCGTGCTGTTATTGGTGAGTTTTTAAAGTTAGTGCTGTTCGGTGGAGGCGCCAACTGGGCGCCAATTCGTGTTATTTTACAAGAAAAGATTTTCTAATTATGCTTAATTGGGCTCATCAATTGGCGCTGCTGACGATAGTGGCGCCAACTGGTAAATGAGAAAACCTTAATTATAACAACATAAACATAACGACAGGATCGTTTCCAAATACAAAACGAGTATACATCAGTGAAGGAAGAAAGTATTATCTTCATACAACTTGTCACTTGTCAAGTCAAATCTATCATGAATGGTCCCGGTGAAGGAGCACCTTACCTATTTCTTACTTCACTGATCTTATAATATCAAAAACAAATCTATTTACATTTCCCTTCTTCACAGGAGGAGCCACAGTCGCAAAAAGAGGAGTCACCAGCGCCAGAGGAAGAGACCAGCGAGCAAAAGGCTGACGCGGTCACCGAGGAGGATGAGGAAGAAAAGGTAAATCAAATGAAATCAGAAATATTTTATTCAATTTAGACCAATAGTGGCACTTATGAACGTCAAAATACAGTAAAAAAAAATTGTTTTCATAGGGGTCACTTAAAAATCAGGGATTGATGGTGAAAACGGGCGTTAGTCCGTCAATTATATTATTATCAAAAAATATTGGACAAGTATACAGGTTGTTAGGTAAATGGGTATATAAGCCGACACTAGCCCATGTTAACATGGGCATATGAATGGTATGGTGAAGTCAGAAAATTGATATCTTCATTTTAATTATTTTAATTTTCATACAATTCGGATTTTATAAAATTTATTTTGATTGAAAATTAAAAAAAATAAAATGTTGATATCAAATTTCTGACTTCACCATACCATTTCTATGCACATGTTAACATGGGCTCATATACCCATTTACCTAACACCCTGTATATTTAATAATTTGTTACATACGAGATAAATGACGTTACAAAGTGGTACACTTTTAAACACACCCTAACGTCTCGAGCCTCCTCTTTAGCACTTTGGCGCGCTTTATCTCTTTAAATTTTTAATAAATTGAAAAAGTTAACTGGTGGACTAATTCAAACTCAATTTTTTACCCAGGAAACATCCCTATTATAGCCTTACTTTTATTGGTTACTTAATTTCCCCAAATGTTGGTAAAAGCATTATAGTTCTTGCAACCCACGAAGGCGAGTCAGTTTTACTTGCGTGTGTACGTGTACATGCACATAATGATAGCGTTATGTCTATCAAAACTTTTGAAAAGTAGCGAGCCACCACACATGTAAAGCTCTAGGGATGTTATGGATATGTAGTTTCGGTTATGGGTACGGTTACGAATATAGGAATAATATTATACCGCATTCGGTGATATCTGAAAGTTTCGGTTACGGTTATCTGTGCTTTAGAATGCAATAGTTGTCCGATACGGTTCATTCATGGCCGCACACTTTACATCGAATAAAAAGTAATAAAAAATAAAAATTGATACTAGATGGCATTATACATAGAGGTAAATCAGGCTGTTATGCCTTTACATATAATGCTATACAAAAAACAATTTAAACTGCCTACATTCGAAACTTTTGAATCGGTTACGGATATCCATAACACCCCTGAAGCTTACTTGCTTTCGTGAATTTTTTTTTTTTTAAAGATTATTAGTAATTTGTTATTACACAAATTACTAATACTCCCGTTAGCCCCTCGTACTAAGCTAAATATGCTTGTGTCCTGAGTGAGCTCACCACAATAGTCGAGCGGCGGCGGGGACCGAACCCGCGTTCCCCGGATCCCGAGTTGGCCAGTCCGACCCCTTCACCTCTGGCTCTAAAATTCTGCTCTCTAATGCTCTCTTGTTACTGGTATCATTCCCGTATTTAATTTTTGAAAGCCAAATTCAAGCAAAGTACGCGTCGAATCGTAGTACTTACTTATGAAATGTAACACTGGTCACTTTCTTTTGTTTTTCTGATGTATTTAGACACCCTTTCACAGCACAAACCGTCTTAATTAATTAAAAGTCGTCGGACGTGTTAACCAATTTTTCACTTTGACAGTTCATGTGACGTTTACGGGTGAGCCATTCAGGCTCACTAAAATCTGCCTCACCTTTCGTGCACTGACTATCTATCTAGGTTTTATTAATCTTAAGTGCGTCAGCTACGCGAGCTAAGCTAAACAAACTTAGCTCTTGGTCTGCAACCCGCATTCAAGTTGTCAATCCCCCAGGAGCCCGAGGTGGAGAGGAAGAAGCCGCGCGGCGGCAAGCGGCCCAAGAAGCAGCAGCAGGAGGACGAGGTCTCCTCCACGTCCGCGCCCGCCGAGCCCGAGCCCCAGGTAACAACCAGTCAAAAGATAACTTTAAAAAAAAAAACCGACTTCAAATGCGTGAACACAAAAAAAAAACTAAAAATTAAAAAATCATCCCCAATTTTCCACCCTTGGGGGTGAAATATTTTCTTCAAATTCGCATGAAACCACCCTTTTGATAATACCTATTCAACAAAAAAATAATCGTTCAAATTAATTTATAATCGGCGGAGATATTGCGTATAAAAAAGTTCATCCTCAATTTTCCACCCTTGGGGGTTGTTTTTTCTATTATTAAATTTAAATGGGACCACCCTTGAGGTATTACCTATACGCCGAAAAAAGATTTGTTCAAATCGGTTCATAATTGGCCGAGTTATCGCGTAACAAATATAGAAAAAAAACATACGGGTCGAATTGAGAACCTCCTCCTTTTTTGAAGTCGGTTGAAAATTACTTTGTCAACAAAACACTCATCATTTCAGCCACAGGACGTCCACTGCTGAACATAAGCTTCCCCCAATGCTTTCCATGTTGATTGGTAGCGGCCTGCGTCCAGCGCTTCCCTGCTACCTTTACGATGTCGTCGGTCCACCTTGTAGGTGGACGTCCCACGCTGTGTTTTCTGGTACGCGGCCTCCATTTCAGAACCTTGCTGCCCCATCGGCCGTACTATGTGCCCTGCCCATTGCCACTTCAGCTTGCTAATCCGTCGGGCTATGTCAGCGACTTTAGTTCGTTTACGGATCTCCACATTTCTGATTCGATCTCGCAAAGAAACACCGAGCATAGCCCGGTAACAACACAAGTCGAAAGTAAATAACTTTATTTGCCAACAAAACACTCACCATCATCATCATCTCAGCCATAGGACGTCCACTGCTGAACATAGGCCTCCCCAATGCTTTCCGATTTCCATGTTGCCCGATTGGTAGCGACTGACCGCCGGCGACCGACTTTTAGTTGGATCGATTTCCAATTTGTATGAAGAATCGGCCGATACCAAATCGATGTAATGTGCGCACTTCCATACATATTCATGTAGGATATGAGTGGGAAACGGAACGTAAAGATGTGGGAAAGAGAAGGAAGAGTGTGAGTGTGACGTACGACGACGTGAAGACGGACGACGATTGTATTATTTTCTATCTTGGACAAATAAATATCGTGGGAATGGGCTAGTTTCCTAAAAAAGTTGTAAGTCTAACTACCTGTACCTGTCTAATGGTTCGAAGGCAATAAATACATTTTTTTTTTTTTTGATGTCGAATGGTGAAGGTGCCAGACTGGCCGACTGTCTCGCTAACTACTTAACAGGCTAGTTTCCTAAAAAAATTTTTTTAGTCCGTCATGTTTAATATCAAAAAATATTGGATACATATATTTTTATTTGTCAATCTAACAAATAATTACATAGTTATGGTGCGTTGAAGTTCCGCACGACGTCACAACGTGCGGCACTTTTATGCACGCATTGATGTCACGGGCCTCTTCTTATGAACCTTGGCGCGCTTTATCTCTTTAAATTTTCATTAGTTTGAAAAAGTGAAAAATACGTGTAGAGTATTTTTTGATAAGTTAACTGACGGACTAATTAAAACTCGTGCTTTTTGACCCAGGAAACATCCCTATTAAAACGGCATTTTAATTCCTAAATTCATACTGACCAACAGCCCGACCCAACTATCGGCCAACTAAAAATCGTCTAAGCTTAAAAAAGCGGAAAGTGCAGCGTATAACGTTCACCCGACCGACAACCTCATAAAAGTAGCAGGAAGGCGCTGGATGCAGGCCGCTACCAACCGGTCATTATGGGAATCACTGGGGGAGGCCTATGTTAAGCAGAGGACGTCCTATGGCTGAAATGATGACAATGAAAAAGCACTTATACCCATCAAATCCCACGCAGTCGCATATGACCGCGTAACAATTTGATTGTGTCTCGATTCGCGGGACTTATAGGGATTATGCTATATTGTCTATGTTTTGAATAACCTCACTGCGTTGGTTTAATTAAGTCATCGAAAAGTCACAAATAGTCATTTATTTTCTACTTATAGGCTTTTATAGTTCCAAAATACTGGACTGTCCTATCCATGACATTGACAGTGGGGCGCCACCGTCAATACCGGATCGCTGGTTCCGATTTTTGCCATGTTGGAAACCATATAGTTGAACGATGGTAGCGCCCCCCTGTCATTGAGTTTGGTGGGACAGTTCAGCGTGGGTCATCTATACAGCGTTTTCACACTTACAATAACTTAACCCAACCTGCTTCGGGGCTTTAAACATGTTTTCGCGTTTTTTCTTCTCTTTATTTAATTTGTTTTATTTTAAATTATAATTTCAATAACATAGGCCAAACGTGGGAGAGGCGATGCTTCGGCGGGAAAGAGACGCAAGCCCGGCAAAAAGGCACGGCGGCTATAGGTTATATACCAGCATCTACACTCTAAAGGCAATATTGTGACACCAATAACATCTATATATATAAAAGAAAGTCGTGTTAGTTACACCACTTATAACTCAAGAACGGCTGAACCGATTTAGCTGAAAATTGTCAGGGAGGTAGTTTAGAGCCAGGAGAAGGACATAGGATACTTTTTATCCCGTTCAAAATAAAAAAAGTCTGCTTATTTATTGCCATTAGGGCGGAACAAAGTTCGCCGGGTCAGCTAGTATTTATTAAAACTAAAATAGTAAGAGTAGGCGCACACCGTTGATACTTGATTTTTAGTTGGCCGATAGATGTGCCCGATTTTAAATTGTATGAAGAATCGGCCAAATCAAATCGGCGTAGTGTGCGCACTCCCATACATGCCCATACTGATCAACTGCCCGACTAAACTATCGGCCGACGAAAAATCAACGGTGTGCGCCTACTCTAAGACACAGGTCTTAACGCGACGTTTATTAATGAGCGTCGTATTAATAATAATAAACGTCGCGTTGAGACCCGTGTCTTACTATTTTAGTTGAAATGAAACGCGAAAGTTTAAAATCTAACATATTTATTACGTTCATATAAAGCCCAATATCCTATAACTCGTCGATTTATTTATATCGATGGCGCCAACTGATTAGATCCAACATGTCGCTGGTGGCGCCAACTGGTCAATTGAATGAGGGTTTTCGCGAATGAAAAATCCGCCAGATGGCAATACGTAGACGCGAGGTCCAAATGCTGCATGATTGGTTATTTTTGACATGACATTGACAGATATGTCAAAATCCACCAATCATGCAGCAGTCAGACCCCACATCCACGTCCCGCCATCTAGCGGATCTTTCATTCGCGAAAACCCTCATTATAAGTATGATTATAAAAATTTAACAAAAATAAGGTGTTACAATATCGCCAAGGTCTATTTTATAAACTGACCGATGACGTTTCATCAGGTCAGTTGATTTAATACGACCATATTGATACCATTTTGCTTGTAATGTTCCATAGTTCCATGTCGCATAGAAAGAGTATATTTATGAGAAATTATTATACATAGTTAATTTGAGTTTATTAACATTTGAAATATAAAATATTCAGTCAATTTAAGTACTCAAATTTAAAATTTCATAAAAATTCAGTAGAGTAATTTTAGTTCAAAAAAAGTAAAATGGAATCATATCATTCATTATTTTCATTCATTTGGTTTATTTTTATTAATAGCAATGCATCTTATTGAGTATGGATGGTGTCGGTTTTATTGTTTTATGTATTTTGTGACGTCCTGTACTGTTGTTTTTATTGTATAAATTGTTCATATTACATATAGTAGTATATTCGTGGTGTTGGGAGTATGTTTAGTTTTTGTTGGGTGAACAGAAATATAACTGCATCAAGTAGTTTTGGGAGTAGTTATACGAAATTACTCGGGTGGAGATTAGATCAAAGTAAATAAATAATTTGGTGTAGAAAAAAGTGTAATCCAACAAAACTTCATATAAATAATATATTGTTTAAGTTAATTTAAAGTTAGTGCATGTATTTAACTTCAAATTGTACTAAAATTGACTAAAACTTGCAGAAGGTGAACGGAGATGAGACAAAAGACACAGCCATGGATGTTGACGAAACTGGTAAGTCTTACACCATCGATTCATTTTCATCGATGCACTGATTGGACATAAGTTTTCCAAAATTAAAGCTTCTAAGCACTATTTCAAGAATTTTCACATAATACCTAAATAAACACTTCATTTACTATACGGACTGCAAATTCTTAAAAATCTAGAAAACCGTGATAATTTGACCTGTCAAAATTTTATATTAGATAGACCATATTTTTTAAGGTTATCCATTGTTTTTGGGACACCCTGTATAACTAAACATCCATCCACAGACAAACCACAGGAAGAAGATAAAGAAGACATGAACACAGAGGAATCAGAGCCAGAAAAACCTGTCCAGGACATCGAAATGAAGGAGGAATCCAAACCAGAGACCACGGATACCTCCAGCCAAGGGACCACGGACAGCGACGCCAAGTCCCAGGAGACCGAGCCAAGCGAGCCAACTGAGGCCACCAACTTGAACGGAGACTCCGCGGAGACCAAAACTGAGCCGATACCAACCAACACTCCTCTGACCACCACGGCGTGATGGTAAGTCCCAGTAACCGTCTCACCGTTACACACACCAACTCGAGTTGGGCTATTCGCTGTGTAGCGGTGACTTGTTAACTACAGCGAGAGTCGAAACGCTCCGTCCATAGAGAATTTAATTAAAAAACGGGCGTTTCCATTCTAGCACCGAGCGGTTACTCGGCTAATGACGTAATCCGGTTTTCGAACTACTTCGAATGAAGTACTTAAGCAAAATTACAAACAATCCACATTTATAATAATATGGTTATTTCGTGTATTTATGTTACAGTATTTAAGTTTATCGGTTGTAGTTGTACGGATTTATTAGTATAGTTTTGCATAGTTGTCGAGTCAGCTATGGTATAGTGCCCGACTGAGTCAATGCCTGAGGTATTTGAGGGTATTTTTGTCAAAAAGTCAAAGTCAAAATTTCTTTATTTGTTTAGACTAATAAATAGTTCTTACAAATCGTCATTGTGACTGTCAAACGTCAGTAAGACTTCATATCTTCAAAGGACAGTGCCAATCCATGTATGGAAGTTGGACCAAATGCTGCCCAGAATGAAACTATAGCGCATTTCTCTGGCCAATACTGATTTGTAAACCAGAGCGCACTGAAATCTATCCTAGTTAAGAGAAAAAAAGAGTTTTGTTTTGAATTATTTACATACAAAATATCATCGATATATACGTACTACGCATAAGATTTCGCGATTTTGGCATTAAATAACACTCGCTATGTTGAACTTAACCATACTGCATACACTTTAGTGCCTCTTAGACATTCTTTATAAACGATCAAGCGCTGTTGCAAGTTTGATAAGTTGACAGAAATCATTATTTCCAAAATGAAGCAAGAAGTTTTAGTTCTCTATCCTTTCCTTCCTTGAAAAATCAATTTATTGGTGTATTACAATCGATTATTGAATTTATTGTACGCTACTATAGGCCTGAGGAACAAAATGCACTATGGGTTGATTCTGGGCAGCACTTGGTCCAGAATCTGGCACCATCCTTTGTATGCTCTGTCACGTCATAAATGTCAATGGTACCCAGCGTTGCAAGTCGGGACTTTGGTACTTTTTGAGTTAAAATAGCGGGATTCTTCCGTCAGAAGTGGTACATAGTAAAAAAACGTATATAATCAAAGGTTTTCAAATATTTGACTTAAAATTACGTTTACGTGACAATAGATAGCAAAAGTAGCCATAGAAAATGTATTTTAGTAAAAAAATAATATTTTAAATCAGATTTCCTCTATCGTTAAATTCGTCTTTAGAATAAAAAAAGAAAAAAAAAAGTTTATTCTTTAGATTAATATGGCGTTTCAAACAATAGTCTGGTGAAGTGAGTGTCTCTCTCCGAAAAGCGGGACCGAGCCTGTCCCGCGCGGGACATTTAAATTTGATTTAAAAATCGGGACGTCTGGCAACTTTATTACTTTAAAGCGCTGTGCTGCTCCTACCTCAGGCATTGATTAAGTGAAGCTATACCTATAAACATCAGGTGCTCTTGGTTGTCACTTGTCACATCCGGACGTAGCATAGAACTTGGTTTAATCAGTAATTTAATTTAATTGATCAGATACATTCTTGATGATAAATGTTGGTGTACGCCAATTGTGTATTTGAAAATGACTTCATTTTGTTACGTAAATATATTTCGTATAATAATAATTTGGTTTTATTAATAATCCTTTCGTTATTTTGTATCTATGTATGTTGTTAATTTAGAACCTCTTCAAGACATTACAACTGAACCTTTCTATGCCTATTTGATTGCTTGAATATAACAAATAATTGAAACATATCAAAAACTAAATTTTAAAATTCGACAAGTACATTCAGCAAAATCATTTCAACAACAAACAGTTGAACTAAAACATATTTGGTCTATTTTCTTTATTTGGGGCTCGATGGCGTAAATAGAACGTATTTATATATTTTAGTGACATCACAAGCTGTCCAATTTCGTCACTATTCGAAAAACAATTTTGCATTTAATTACAATTTCAAATAATTCGGTATCAATTTTTGAATTAATTTCCTTTTTGTTACAAATTATAGTGTTTTTTGCGTAATTGAATATATTAATTTGTGAATTTATGAAGCCAATTTTTGTTAATTTGACGACATAATAAATAATGATTTTTTATAGTTCAATTATTGTTTTACTGATCCAAAAATTATAATCAGTTTTGATATTTCAAAATTGTTCTGTTATTATTGAATATGTACTACATATTTCTAACAATATAAAAGGAAGAGTTCGTAATTAAATTATGAACCTAACTAAAACCACTTATCAGCAAGTGTGTTGACAACTAAATATTGTAACTTATTTTTATTTTTATTTATTTTATTTGGTGCACAAAACAGGGATACAACCATAACATACAAAGCTTTTAAAGCAGGCTATACAGTAAAACTTGTTGCAGCTCCAATAAAAAGTGCACACAACATACAATGCTATTCGAGTTAACAATAATTATACATAATACATAAATTATAAATAGAAAAATAATTATTTAATGTTAATTAATAATGGAAACAAGTTATTAATATTCTGCATCTTCCTATATTTTAATTTCACTAATTTTTACTACCAAGTTTATTAATTAATATTTAATATTATTTATATATTCCCTCATCTCTAGTTGACTCACAATCCTTGCTTCAAACTCTGTAATATATTTAATAATATACATTAGTTACATTATATTTTGTGGATTTGTCATTTTGAATAAGCTCTTAAAGTTTTTAATAAATATCAACATCGGTTGGCATAAAAATGTTAATGTTTCAAATTATAAATAAATAGTAATATATTCAATAGTTAAAATGACATTACATAGTTATAATAAAGATATTTAATACAAAGTTCGATTCACAATTTCAATGTTTTTAACATTTTTTTGCCAATCTTTTTGGGAATGGATATTGTGTCAAATGGAATTGAGACTGTGAGAGTTGTGTATTAAAATACATATTTAATCGTGTGCAATGTAAACATCACATTCGATTTATACGTAACTAGCTTTTGGCCGTGGCTTTGCCTCTGTGAATAAGATATTGTCTCTTTCTAAAACCTGGATAAAACTGTCGTTTGTTTGTCCCTGGGTCTCAAATTTTATCTAAATCGGTTCAGTAATGTAAGCGTTAAAAACTAACAGACGCATTATATTCGCATTTATATCATTACGGATGTCACATAAGGCGTTATTGCTCAATTTGTTCACTTCACTCGTTAATTTTGGTGAGCACGTTAATATTCACTAGGAGCCATTTACTAGTAGTTAAATCTATTAGAAGTGCTTACTTTATCCGCCTGTATTTGTGACAATATTTGAAAAAATATATTTATAACAAAAATGTTATCGAACATATCTGTATGTTAAACTTATTTAAAGACTGTCAAAATCAAATTAAAATGAAGGCACGATTGATTAAAATTAACTGCACTTTGCATTTGTAAAACAGTCTCAATTCTGTGAGGAAACAAAAATGATTTGTTTCACGATTAAGAGCTGAATTTGCTTAGGACAGGTTAATATAAGGAAATAGACATTTTATCCCGTTATACATAATATAGAATTCAAATTAATATCCAGATACAAGTCTTATATCTAGTTGGCGCCATTATCGAGCTATACCCTACTCGCTAGTGGCGCCAAATTGCCCCCTTACAGATAAAACAACAAACCAATTGGCGCCACTGTCGATGTTATGATAGTGACAAGACCTAACTCGCCAGTGGCGCCAACTATAGTCACGTTGCCGAGCACGTAGAATTTCGTCTAATGACCCCGAGCTACCCATCTTTATCGCTCGCGCGTAATTATATTGCTGTTGCAACTGTACGACGGACGGCCGCAGTGTGTGTGCGAGCGTGACAGTAATATAATTACGCGCGAGCGATAAGGATGGGTAGCTCGGGGTCATTAGACGAAATTCTACGTGCTCGGCGACCGGACTTTAGTGAGATAAAAATTAAAATACATAGTATTCTCTGTCTTGGATGAAATGTTATAAATCAGTCATTTTTAACCGTTCAGAGTTTCCCCTGTTCTATCAAATCTGCTCTATTCACAACAGTAAGTAGATTACGCGATTTTAGATTACACACAATGTAATTTATCGAGACTACGCATAGTAGTCGTTAGATGTGGTTGCTAGAATAAATAATATAAGTGAAACGTTGAGTGTTGCGTGCATGTCAGCCCGGACTGGTACAAAACAAACAACATTTGGGAAATTAGTTTTCATAAGTATTCATAGCGTTATAGTTAAGCAAACATTTTGTTGACACGTTTTATTTTTATTTTATAGAAAGTTTTCTCGCATGATTCTATCGGAGTACAAAAGTACAAGTTCTTTCACACGACGCTATATTCTTGATTGTTAATAAAGATGAAGTATAATGTATTGTGTTTTCCTAATAAAATAGTAGTGTAATATTTGCGTTTTATTTCTTACTGCACAGACCCCAAGATAAAGTAACAGATTTAACTTCGCAAGAACTGTAAAAGAGACGTAAAGAAACGATCACGAAACTAAAACTGTCACGACTAATAATAACTGTTTAGCCCTTATAAAAATATTAGCGGGTAGTCGCATATTTGCTTCGCCAACTTTATTAACCTACCGCCATTCAATGGTCGCAAGCATCAGTTGCCCGGCGACGCTCAATGCGCACACCCGTGTCGCGCGCTCTGCGAGTCTACGAGTGACGTCACTCCTTAGGAAGACCGTGTTTTCTGCTATTGTTCGTGTGTGTAGCCGTGCTCCGTATCAGCATCAGCTCTTAGGATACTCAGGCAGTGCCCCACCGTGGCTAGGGTCGACTTTAAGGTAAGTGAAACTCAGATTATAGATCGTTTCATCCACGAAGACGCGCCCCACTAATTTTTGGTCGAGGGAAGCGCGGGGAGTTTGATTAGAGCAATCCGAGCGACGTAGCGTGGGCAGGCCTCCTACTAGGTGGACCGACGATCTCGTAAAGGTCGCGGGAAGAGCCTGGATGCGGGCAGCGCAGGACCGTGCATTGTGGAAAACCTTGGGGGAGGCCTTTGTCCAGCAGTGGACGTCATTTGGCTGAAACGAATCCGAGCGTCATTATTGTAGTGTGCGTGTGCACTCATGGATGCGTGTACCGAAACCACATAACATTCAAACATTAGCGGAAGAATGGTGGGGCGCGTCTTCATGGATGAAACAATCTTTACACCTATATCTGTATTGTGATGACTGATTTACCCTGTCACCAATGTTCCATTAAAAAACCTTAAACAGTCCACTTTCTAATCAAAATATCCTGAACCAGCTTCATAGACGCAATTTATTATCATCTATTAAAAAAATTGTCATTTAAAAAAAAACAGTGCGATTCACGCACAGTTACCTAATAGAGTGTTGGTTTGTTGAGATATATTCTAATAAAATAATTGTGATAAATACTACTTTGTTGCTTACTTGTCCTGAAGCAGTGGTAGGTATAATTTGTTCAAGAAATAAAATGCCCAAGTCACATATTGATATGGTTTATTTATTAAAGTTGCAGAATCTACACATACAAATTCTATGCTAGTTACAGGCTTTTGAGCGTCCATCAAACGGATACAAATGACATCCTAAATGTTTCTTACCAAGTGAAAAATATTCTTTATTATACAGCCATTGCAAA